TCTGGTCCTTGAAGAAAGCAAATATTCAATGTATTGTGCTAGCAAAGTCCTCTCTAAAGTACTAAAATCTCATTGTCTGCTCAGGCACCTGACTCCTTTGGTGCTGAGATTTCCTAAGGCAGGGGATCACAACTTGGGCTCCGAGGAGCCCTTAGGGCTCTGTGTGCACTTCCCAGGTGCTCTGTGGCTGCTCCCAGAAGATGAAAGAAATAAAAATTGAATGAAAGTAAAGAATAAGAATATATTCTTACATATTCTAAGCACCATTAACTTGGAAGACATAGGGTAGGCCTCTTAAGGGCTCCCCCATAGAAATAAGGGCTCCACGAGTCAAAAAGGTTTGGAACTCCTTTCCTAAAGCACTGGTCAGACTATTTTTCTGGGCAATCTACCTCTGCAAGCCCTAAAAATCAACAGAATATTCAGTATTGCACCTACTAATGAACACTCTAACAGATCACAAAGCATAATGGTAGCCTGGGTACAAAATTCACTTTTCTGAGAGAAACTACCAATATTTGCAAATACACTAATGTGGTTCAATTCTTGCTTGTTTGTGCCTGAGCTAAAAATATTTATATGTAATTGATGAAAGTCCCTCACTTGGAATGTGGGAATATTTGGTAATTCATCAAGTTAGTAGCCTCCAAGGTCTGAGACAGATTCATTTGTTGGGTCTGGAAAGTTACATAAACATGAAGAGGTCAGGGATGGGATAAGCAGCCCTGATTCTGATCTCCTCCCTTGAATATTGTTGTTGCTTGTTGTTAGCTGTTCTTGAGTGGACTTCCAATTCATGACAGCCTCCTGGATGAGACATCTCCAAGCCAACTTGTGAAACTGTGGGATTTTGGAGTGGTATTTAGAATTCTGTTCAAGAGAGCTCTAGTGCCTTCCCAAACTACAAACCCCAGGCTTCCACAGAATGCAGCCATGGCGGTTAAAGTGGAATTGTAGTGGTATAACTGTACTGTGAAAGGGCCCCTGAACTGAAGGTTGGATGGCTTCTTTACATATAAATAGAGGCAAGACATATGGGAGTGAGAATCTTTTTCATGCATGTGGAAGATGGAATGGAGTCTTAAGGATGGCATACCTGGGGTCTTGGAATGGGTTTCACCGGCTTTTTTGAACCCAGTTTCTTCATAGCATTGTAGTATTTCTTTTGTTCCTCTGTCATGAAGATGTCCTTTCCTCCAAAGTAAAAGGAGAATCATTATTATTAGACTTGGGGTGAAATTCCTTAACTGCAACATCCAAGACCCATGCAAAACACCTACAATCTTTTCCTTCCTTGCAGGCTTAATTTGAACACCCATAACCTGCCTGTTCATTTCTGAGGCTCAGTTATGGCACCTTCACTTGGTCACCTTTACCTTTTCTATAGACCCAGTTCTCCCTGCATCACTTGTTAACAGCCTTCTAGCTTGTGCACTTGTGTGTTTAATTTCTCTCTGGTTTATAAAGACAGAAGCCTTACATTCCTCCTTAGGTTAGCAATTAGGTCACCAAATTCTTAGTCTAGCAATGCTAACTCAGTTTTCAATGTCTCATGAATGCCTGGTCATTCTTGCCAGCTTACTCTATGGGAGCACAAAGTGACTACCGATACATCTTTCCTCAGCTCAGGGACAAATTATACATTACATTAATCACATTGAGCATAGGATATTTTTCTTCCACATATAATTACTGCAGATATGCCTATCTAGACGAGCACATAGACATGGGATACAGAGGGTGCTTTAATTCTTTGTTTTCCATTGTGACCCCAGTTCGGATTTTAGGTGCTCCATTAAGAACTCTCCCAACTCCAGTAGCATCTGCTTTCTTAGTAGTTAAATGGTGATTCTTCCAGTGGGAAACCAAAACTAAGAATTGTTTGGGGGCTCCAGAACTAGAAGAAACCACACTGGCCAGGAGGCCAGGAGCCACTAGAAGTTGGCACCTTTCACATCCTTGAAAGAATTCTATGCCAAAGACCAGCCTGGCTTGTTCCCTTGCTCTTTGTCACAAAGGACAAAGTCTACACCTGTCAGTTGGTCTAAGGGCCTTTATAGACTGCCAGAAATAATGCAGCTTGAGGCCACTTTAACTGTCCTGGCTCAGTGCTAGGGAATCATGGGAACTGTAGTTTTTTCTGGGACATTGAGCCTTCTCTGTCAGAGAACCAAGGGATGTTGGATGGAGTGTGTGTGTGTGCAAGTTTGGGTTTCTTCTACATCATTGCTTACAAGCTACCTTGAGAATGATTTAACGAAAAAGTGGGCTATAAATCTTCAAAAGGAATAAGTGATAAATAAGAGACACTTATCTTTTTCTTCTGCTGGTTGAAATTGTCGATGATGACACCAATAAAAAGATTAAGCGTGAAGAAAGCCCCAAAGATGATAAAGATGACAAAGTAGATATACATGTAGAGATTCACTTCATATTGAGGTTGTTCCTCCTTCTGGAATGGCAGAGGAAAGGTTGAGAAAAGACCCTGCCCTTTGCACTCAGCATTCCCATCCCCTTCTCCCTGAAGACCTGAGCTAGTCACAAAAACTACAAGAGGATTACAGGACATGGAAATCAGCTTCTCATGTCCACATTACCTCACGGGAGTCAACGGCTGCATACATGATGTCCATCCAGCCCTTGAAGGTAGCCTGCAAGAAAAAAACACAGATTCATCATGGTGCTGTGGGAGAGAAGTGAGACAGAGGTAGATTGGTCAGACTATTAGATATATCCCACACAACTCAAGCACAGTATCCCTGGAAACTTCATTCCTAAGCTAGAGTTTGAGAAAGTTGATTTTTTGGACAACTCCAAGAATTGCCAGTATGGTTTTAGAAATTCTGGAAATAGTAGGGCCAAAAGATTAGCATTTCAAAATCCTCCGAACAGAAGTTAGAGCATATTCTGGGAGAGTTCCCTGCAGGTGGATATCCTCCAGGGCAGACAGAGAGGAGAGAAAGTAAGCACACTTACCACTTGCAAAAGTGAGAGATAGCCTAAGCCCACGTTGTCAAAATTGACCTTGACGTTGACCCAGCGGACATCTGTGACATTTCCTATGTTAAGGAGGTTCATGCAGTCACTCTTGTTGTTCACTTCACTGATATCAAAGAGGTCACCCGTGGTAGTATTGACACAACGGTAATATTTCCCTGCAAAGAGGTTGACCCCCATGATGCTGAAGATGAGCCAGAAGATCAGGCAGACCAAGAGGACATTCATAATGGATGGAATGGCCCCTAGAAGGGCATTTACAACCACCTGGCATCCAAAGCAAAAAAACCAAAAACATTTGGGATTTAACAAAAATGATTTTGAAACCAATTTCTTCCCCCAACAGGTTCAGACTAATGGCACTTAAAATTCATAACAGCTTGCTGGCTCCTAACCTTGGGTCCACAGTTCTTGACTACAACTTCCAGGAGCACTGACTACAGGCTGTGCTGATGGAGACTGTGGGAACTGCATTCCAACAATATCTGATGATATTGGATGATATAGCAAATGGGAGACATTGCTATACATAATTGAGAAATTCCAGAGATCAATAGGTTTTACTAAGAATTAGGGATCGTCAGCACTGAGTGCAGAACCTATATTCAATACCATAAGAGAAACTGAAATTAGGTTTATCCAGACTGGCCAAAATAATTTAGCTGAAATTGCTCTTAATCACTTTTGGTTTTGGTTCTTTAAAAATATTCATACAATATAACTCTTCTCTTGACCTAGTTCTTTTGAATTTCCTGAACTATCCTCAACTTTTAAAACCCAGGGCAGTTGGTTTTTCCTATCCAATGAATTTTCAAAATGGGCATATGCAAATTCTCATATCTGTACCCACTGCCTTACTTTCTTATGGGCAGTCCCACTGATGACACATTGAATGAGGATGGGACATTTTGCATTGGGATTAAGGGAGTTGGCCACCATTTTTATTGGTTAAAATTGCCCACAACTTTAATGCTTACACAGGGGTGATACAAACATGATGCAGCTGTTAACAGGTAGCAGTGTAATGCACACACATACCCATATAAAGGGGTTATTCCATTACTGGTCCCAACACATGTACAATAATTGAACTTTACCATAAATAAATTATAATCAGATCATAAATCAATCATAATCATAAATAGGTCACAAATCAATCATCATGGGAGCATAAATCATAATTGTGATCATAAATCATTTGTGACATGGTCATACATCAATCATAATGGCCATCAATCATTTTAATGGGTCAATTGGCTTATATAAGGCTGACCAAGTCCTGCAGGAAATCTTGCAATAACTGCTGTTCTTGTGTGATTTCATGTGATCTAGGGTGAGTTTTCACCCCAAATCACATTCCCAAGTCTCACGAAATCAACATACATTATGAAACTTGGGATTCCTCTGTGCAGCCACACAGAGGGCTGGAAGCAGCACAGTGCCATCTCTCTAAGGCATCCACTGCAAAAGAAGCTCCTCCTCAGCCTTTGGGTAGGCCTGCCTTGGAAGGTTTCCTCTAATTTTGTTTCCCTCATTTTGCTTCCAAACACTTCCTCTGTGCTGCACTGGTTTTTGTTTTACTTTCTATAAATGGTATGCTAAAGGGGTATAGCTTTAACTCTATGGCACTTTCATATTATGACAATAAAAATGTTTTTTAAAAATAATAATAAACATGCTGTGCCACACCAAGAGGAGGGGCAGGGGCAGGGGTGGGATTGAATTCATGAGGGGGATGATGGGGCAGAAAGAAAACCATACCAAGTTGAATGAGGGTGGGACATTTGTAACCACATCTCAAGCACATAAATGAGTGGATAAAACCCCAGCTTATTTAGCCCATCATTGGATGTAGGAGCAGGTACAACTGTTAAAAGGTGTTGCTGTTGTGGTGTGCCTTCAAGCCATTTCCAATTTATGATAACCCTAAGGTGAACCAGCATGGGGTTTTCTGGGGCTGAGAGTGTGTGAGTCTTGCCCCTGGTCACCCAGGGGGCTTCCAGGGCCATGCAGGGAATCAAACCCTGGTCTCCAGAGTCAATAGCCAGATGTCCAAACCACTACAGCACACTGGCTCTCAAGGTGGTGGTAAAAATACTCTTGCAAAGGTGTATATTTCTGTTGTTGCTGTTAACGTTATCTAACAGCAACAGTATTATGAAACAAGAGGCATAAAAAATCTTCAACTAGCAAAACGACAGACAAAAGCAATCGATCAGTCAGTCAGTCAGTCTCTCAAATAATTTAAAATGTAAAATGCCTGTGCAAAAAAAGGGGAACATTTTCACTTGGCACCAAAAAGAACCTACCCGCATGCCTTCAAATCTGGACAGGGCCCGAAGAGGTCTCAGTGCTCGGAGTGTCCTTAGAGATTTGATGGCTCCCAGTTCTGAATAACCCAACCAGTTTGCTGTCAGACTAATGATGGAGACCTGGTGGAGTAAACAGAACACTTCATAACAAACTGACAGACATAATAAGAGAAAGTATTATGTTACCCTGGGAAAGTAACTATTTAGCCTCCATTTATGACCCCACTACACAGTAACAATGCTATGATGCTACTTTCATTGCCATATGGCATGTTATGATTTGTAGCTTGATGAGGCATTAAAGGATCTCTCTGGTTGAGAATTCTAAATATTCCTCCCTAAATTGGAAATCCCAGGATTCCATATGTTGTTTCCATGGGAGTTAAAGCGGCATCATAGTGCAATAATGTATAGTGTGAAAGGATCCTAGTGTGGTTCACAGATCCTTCTCAGATGTCCTTAAGCATCCATCAGAAGGATCCTGTTTGTTAATTTACTCAGTCCACATTCTGGGAACAGTCATATGATAAAATGCCAAAAAGATTCACTCCAAAATAACTTGTTCCTGAAATCCACAACTTACATCAACAATAAGGAAGTCAAGCCAGCACCAGGCATTGGTGAAATAGACCTTGAATCCATAGGCTACCCATTTCAACAGCATCTCAATAACAAAAACATATGAGAAGACTTTATCAGCATACTCCAACATGATACGGATTGTATGTCGTCGCCCTATGTAAATGTCTTCAAAAGCCTGAAAGAGGGAGGTAAAGAAGGTTATTATGATCAATCCCTAAAGAGGTCTTAAGAGTACTATTATCATAGTTAGGTTAGACATCATATAGAGAATACTATCCTGAGAATTATTAAAAATTCCACATTTAATTTTTCTAAAGTTTCTAGTCCTTAATGTTGAAATGAAAATAGCAGATTGCTCACCTTGGTGGCAGAATTTAAAGGCATAGCAGTGTTAGTCTAGATCAGTACACAAAGGATCTTGCAGCGCCTTTGAGATTAATTGAATAAAAGAAAAGACGTTGGTAGCATAAGCTTTCATAGATTTAAGTCTACTTCCCCAGATGCAATGGAGGAAGTAGACTTTAGTGTATGAAAACTTATGCAACCAAGTTCTTTCTTTCTCTCAGTCTCAAAGGTGCTACAAGATCCCTTTGCAGGCTGCTCACCTGTATCTGCAGTTCTCTGAGTGATCAACTATGAACCCAATGCTACAACTTGGCAGCCTATCCTTGCAAACATCTAGAGCTGAGAAATCTTTTGGATAGGAACCTTGTTCCTCCTCAGTGTAAATCCTATTCATTCATTTCTATATGATGTGGCAGAATGGTAATACATTTAATGAGAAAGTAGGACATAGAGAGGAGGGTAGGTTGAATAAATATTGTAGATGACCACTGAAAGAATCAAACTTCCAGGCAAGCAACTTATTATTCTCCTTCTAGGTCAGTTTCCATGGTCACTGTGTTCTTATGAAATTATAAGAAGGATAAGTCACATCATAAATCATAATGTTTGTCTACCCTACACGCTGATGTTATGGAAGCCAAAAAAGCCAAAAATGACATCTTCCATGAGAGGAGACAAAGGCTGCATATGCCCAAGGGCTCAAATGGGATTCCCATAAGCAGTGAAAGAAGCAGGAAGGGACTCCACCAGGAACAGGTCCTGAAGTAGGATGGTGAACTTTTCGTCGACTTAAAAAAAGGCATAGTCAATGACAGTGTAGACCAGAAGATGTCATTGTTCAACTGAATATAAACTGAAAGCACTGCTATGGAGACATTAATTGAAGAGGTACAAAGCTGTCCAAGTGAAAAAGATCCACTTATGACCATTGTGCGATTTAACTAACAGAGGATGCTCTGTCATTTTTCATGAAATGAAAACTCTTTCTTCATAATACTCAAAACAGTGTTGCTGTTCTGTCCTTGAGGAGGAATACCATGACTGCAGTGTGCACATAACTGAGTGCCTATAAACTGGAAGCATTTTGGTGGTTGCAGGTATCACTTTAGATTCGTCAGCAGCCCCATCTCTGACAGAAAAGGCATAATGGTGTGGAGATCTAGCTCAAAACAGATGGTTTTCGTTGAAACCTTTCCGTTTTTTTGTTTGTTTGTTTGTTTTTTGGTACTGGAATAATGTCTTGATCACCTGGAGAGTAGCAGTTACTTTGTTCTTTCCCCTTATGTTGACTCTTGATGGATGAAGGAAAGAGATGACGTTAGTCTTTTTAGCTGGGTAGAGATCAAGTTCTGTCTGGGTCCTTGGGACCTTTATATTAGCTAGCTTTGGTCCCATCTTGGACCTCAATACCATACTTTGTGTTAAGGGGTAAAACAGCAGAAGTTATGGTTCCAAGGTTTTCCCCTGCTCCTTCTAAAGCTGTTGTTGTTGTTGTTAGCTGCCTTCAAGTCAACCTCGACTCATGGCGACCCTATAGATGAGACCCCCTGTCCTCCCCTGCTCTGCTCAAATTTTGCAATCTGAGGCCTGTGATCTCTGAGTCTAACCACTTGGTGTGTGGTCTTCCTCACTTTCTACTGCTCTCTACTCTTCCTAGCATCACCAGTGATTCGTGCGTTCTCATAATATGGGCAACCTCAGTTTTGTCATCCTGGCTTCCAGGGAGATTTCAGACTTGATCTGTTCAAGGCCCCATTTGTTTGTCTTTTTGGCTGTCCACAGTATCTTCCGCACTTTTCTCCAGCACCACATCTTAAATGAGTTTATTTTCTTTCTTCACTGTCCAACTCTCACATCTGTACATGCAATCAAAAATCCACCAAACAGCAATACCTTTATTGGCCAACCAAAATGCACAATATACATATTGCAAGCTTTTGAAGCTTCACTGGCTTCTTCATCAGGCAAGGTGTTATGAACCAAACAGGGAAAAAATTGAAGATGTTAGTCATAGGCCTGCATTTTACTGTTTCTCTTCTTAGTTAAGATGGTATGGAGGGGCATATCTTGCAGGTTTCCCCCTTTCTCCTTTTGGCCATGTGGCACTGGGAGATTTTCAAAGTCCAGGAAATTTAACATCTATTTGCATCACAACAAAGACACTTCCTTAGCAATCCAGCTGTACATGATGATAGGGAATATAGTGGCTTGGACAATCCTCACTTTGGTGTTCAGAATTATATCTTTACACTTTAGGATCTTGTCCAGTTCTTTCACAGCCACTTTTACAGCTGCTCTGAGCTAAATGGGAAAAATTCCAGTCCTGCATCAGAGGTCCAGCACTGAAAAGCTCATGTTCAACTTGGTGCAGTTGCAGGAGGAGTAGTAGTAAAATCAGGAGTGGATTTCCTGTTCCTATAAATCCACTGGCTGCCCCTGCTCCTGAGGCCATGCAAGGACACCTGTTGCATCATCTGAGTTAAGTCAGGAAGCTGTTCTGATGTTCCTGAGTTATGTAGGTTTGACAATTCTTGCAAACACGCCAGCAATATATGTTTGCCTAGGCTAAAAAGGCAAAGTGGATGGCTATCAGTCAGTATTTTGTTTCTGAAAACCACATACTTCTTGAAGAAGATCTATGGGACCACAGACCCTCAAGACAGGCAGGGAAAAGGTATTTTGATGTTTCCAAGGAAGACAGAGATAAACAAAATTTAAGAGATCCTTAAAAGAAGAAAAAGAGACAGTAGGCAGAAATGGCAAAGCAGTTTATTTATTTCACTGAACTCACAATTCCCAAGAATAAGCATATGACAATGCTGCTGTGAGTACAGATGGGGAATGAGTGAGCACTGCAAGACATCATGTGCACTGGGACTGGGCATGGTTTCTACCAAAAAGCTCTAGAAGTTCTTGAGGATGGATTGTGCAGGGATAGTGTGACCCATATGTATGAGTCATAAAGAACACAAAGAAAAGGGTTTGAAAGTATGTGGACAGTTTATTAGCTTTCACGATTTAGCAATACTTCTAGTGTGAAAAGAATAGGCATGGGGAGAGATTCTGCATTCCCCAAGCTCCGGCTCAATCCCATGAGCCATAGAGAGGATCAAAGTACCACTGTATGTGGGACATTAAGGAACTCTCTTCAGGCTTCTGGAAATTCTGCACAGCTCAGAGACTGGAAAAGATTAGAATTACTTTTGTTGTTTTTTGTTTTTTGCAATCAAGTTGGCTTTGACTTAATGGCAAATCCACAAATGAGATACCTCCATATGCCCTGATTATCAACACACTTCTCAAACCTTACAGACATAGGATTGTTGCTTCTGAAATTGAATAAATTCACCTATAGTGCATTCTTCTTCTTTTTTCTATTGCCTTCTTCTTTATCAAGTATTATTATCTTTTCCACTGAATAAAGCAATCTCAAAATGTGTCCAAAATAGGATAGGATAGCCTTGTAGAGAGACTTCAGTCTTGATGTGCTCTTGGACCCATTTATCTGCTAGAATCACATATCAACTCGACTTCTGATATTAAATGGAAAGCCTCCATTACATGATAGGAGTTATGTTCTATCCTTTAATCTCTATACTGAGAGCTCTATATGCCTGTCACTTCCAACTAGAGGAGTGAACAGTTCAAACAGAAGTGCCAATGAGTACTTGGTTGCATCTGTACCCTACTGGTTCAGCCTCATCATTCTCTCTCACTGCCTAACAAACTCTTCACCGCAGAGAAATAGCACTCACCAGGGCTCCACTGCTGAGAAGGATCATGAAGATGATGAAACTCTCAAACCAGTTGTGCTCCACAATCTTGAAGCATGTCTT